AATACTGGTGAGTGACAGTCTCAGAACCCCAATACCCTTCCTCTATGTATATCTTAAATGTGTTTTTATAAAACATATCACACATTGCTTTTGTAACACAGAAATAAAATAAGAAAGCTTAGAGAGACAGTATGAAGTGTGTGTGTGTTAACTATATTAAGGGTAGTAAAAAGAAAAACATAATGTCATATAATAAATCAATAAATATTCAAGTTCAAAATTCAAGTAGGAAAAACAACTAGTTTGTGCCGATCCAAAAAAATCCACATATTCTGAAAGAATAAGGACAGATTGGAATAATGAGGACACTTTTGAAGGGAAAATTTCAAGATTTTAAGATTCAGAACATCAAACAGAAGCTCTGTTGACAACAGAAAGACAAAGATGTGTCAAACAGCTGCAACAGCATAGAAAATGTTGACAAAATGACGATAGCTAACACACCAGCATCAGCATCAAACGGCAGCATTCAGTAATACCAAGTAGTATTCAACAAGCTGTAATGTTGATTCATTAGACTGCATGAAAAGGGACCCAACTGTGGTACGAAGTTGTGAACAAAAGCATTCCTCACATGGAAATGTGGTACACACTAGCAGCAGCATTTATTAGCACATTTGACAAAATGCATTTATTATATTTGAGAAGTGAGAATGGAAAGGCGCAACAACAGGGGATGATTGGACTTAAATGAATAGCTCTTTAACGTTTTAGTAGTGTAATTGCAGGCGGTATTAAATTCCCAGAGGAAGTGCAACTTCTCTCCACGAGAGACCCTCATTTCTGCAAAGGCACAAGAGTTTGAAGAAATAAGTTCTCCATTTAGAAAAGAAATATTTTTTTAAATGTCTGAGGATAAAAAGATAGATTACAAAGTCAAACGCATTAACAAACCATTAACAGTCATGTCAGTGCAGCCTGCAGCAGCGTGTCTTCTGGCCGCTGGCAGGTACAGTGGGGAACCGCATTCTGCTGTCTCACCTGGCTGCCTGCTGCTGCGCTGCGGCTCAGGTGTTCTAACTGGAAAATTGCAAGTGACTTGATTTGCATAAGTGGTCTTGATAAATTAGCTGCTAAAGCGAGGAAAGCTGCTCTTGTTAAGTTTTTGGGCACAATGGGAATTAGCGTGCCTATTAGCTTCTTCCTGCAAGAGGTTATTAAAAACAAAAAGACAATGAGCTCTGCATTTTTCTGCATTACAAACAGCCTACAAGGAAGGAATTCCATATTTAAAACCACCTGACATGGAATTGTCTACTGACTTTGATCTTTCTGTGCTTTGCATAGATTGTTAACCAGCCTACCACAGAAAGTAGTAAAGGAAAGTATAAAGTGATCATCTAGGGGCTCCTGGATGGCTCACATGGTCGACCTGGTGCCTCATGTAACAAGGCTGAGCCCTAGCTGCAGCAGCCACGTGTTTGAATCTGACCTGTTGCCAATTGCTGCATCTCATCCCCTAACTCTCTCCCCCCTTTTCCTGTCAAAGCTGTCACAATCGATTAAAAAAAAGGCAATAAAAACTCTATATATCTGCTATTTTGGTGTGGGTTGCTGAGTTTCAGAGATAGAGATGTCTTCTTTGTCTTGAATATAATGATTGCACTTGGTTTGTGGTCCTGCAAAAATACACACGAAAAATGTATTTTTTCCAGAAATGGTAACTCAAGTACTCAAGATAATCGACTGACCTTGTTGTGAACAGTTTCAAGTTGGAACTATTTTCTTTCTACACTAAACTCCATCTGCCAACTGTTTGCTATCTGAGTAGATGCGTGCTTCCTTCTGCGCGGTGGTACGTAGAAAGAAAATAGTTTCTACATAAACCTCACAAAAAGGTTTGAGAATTATCTTGAGTAACCGGGTCATGATTTCTGCAAAGAGAGATTGCTGTTGAATTTTTAAAATGTACTTTTGGGTGCTTTGAGCACCACAAGCCAACTGTTATATGGTTCCATTATAGTAAAGAGAAGGCAGAAACCTCTACAACTGATATCTTCAGAACTTGGCAACTCACACCAAAACAATCTATATGGATGAATAGCACTGCCGGTAAGAGGAAAAATATGGATTTTGGATTTTGGGGTGAACAGTCCCTGTAATAATATGCACTCAATTTAGCTTTACTAGTTTCAAGAGGCTGCCACTATGTATGCTGGCTCACTGTCATGGCTTACTGGTAAACATAAAGGACCTGTGTGTATTTAGTGGCATCTAGTGCTGTAGTTGCAGATTCCAATGCCCTCACCTCACCCTCCCGATCCAACTATGTTGGCCACAAAACCTGCGAAAAACACAAAAGACCCTATCTAGAACCAGTGTTTGGTTGGTCCGTTCTGGTCTACTGTAGAAAAATGGTGGTTTCTGTAGAAGAGGACACACCAATGAAAACATATCTATGAATGATCTATGATTATATTCCATTTCTACCAACAGATCCTCCTAAATATTACACACTGGATGTTTTAACAGAGATGCCTTGTGCTTTTTCTGCTGTGAAAAAGGTCTGCTGCTCCTTGTTGATTGGCTCGGTGGTCTGTAGTTCCCCCGACTCAATCACGTCTTTTTCCATCTTCTTCCAAAACATACCGACAATAGGCTAACCAACTGATTTATCGACGAGAAGAATTTTATACTGTTATGGCACCAGTAGAGAGATGACAGTAAATGAAGGACTGACTGATGCTGAAAAGATCCCCAGATGGACAAACCTGGGCTATTGTTGTTCATGGTTGGCGTCTCAACCCCTAGGCCACGGGGGCTCTCCTCCATTGTTACAGTTTTAACAATGTCACGTGCGGCTTATTCTTTCTCTTACCTGTGTGCTGCTGCAGATTTGTCCATTGTTATTGCAGACAGTGCTCACACAGCACCGAGGTGATAGCGCACAGGTTGATGTCTGGACCATGCTGAGACCTTTACTAAATTGGACCTATAACATATCTGTAACAGTTCTCAGGTTTTAGCTGCTGAGACTCTTCTCATGTCAGATCAGTCCGTATTCCATTAAAAAAGAGATTTAAAAAAACTCGTACAACCACAATATCAATACAATTCTCACTATCCGGCAACACACTGTGAACAAATTAAGAATCCCAGCTTAACGTACTGCTGTTCTATGTTCGTGCACTGTCAGACATTATGAACTAAGAACAGAATTCAGCCAATGATAAACGATGAACAGCAAAATACATTTTAAAACCCAACACTGATGCAGCCTGCGAGACAGCTGAGAACTCTTTTTCCTTCCATGATATTGTTTTTATCCGTCATGTCATGTATGAATAAAGCCATTATGGAACATTTACATAATGGATACCTATATTAAGCCAGCTACTTAATGTATTCCATGTCTGAAAAGAGCTTTATAGTAGGCTATAATTAACCTATTAGCCTCCTTATTTAACCTCATCACAGAGCCTTCTGATGGCTGACATTTGACGTAATAGAGAAAAAGGCGTAGGTGTAGCCCAGTAACACTGATGATGGTTCTGTTGCATGAAGGTGAACACCCGGCACACCTAAATGGGATGCAGCCATTGTTAATGTTGGAAGTTGCACCTGTGTTTGTCAAGTAAACATGTTAGCTGTGAGAAAAGCTCTGATGCCTGCCAAATTGAAGTGTCCCAATCTTTAATATCAAACATCAATCTTGTTTAATGTACTGAAGCTGTAAACTGAAGACAGATGCCCACGCCTACTGCCCCCCAACCAGAACCGCTCACACTGCCTGGTGGGACTCCACTGAGGCCGTGACTAGGCAGGGGTGAAGGCTCTCTCTTCGGTAAGATATTTTCCTCTCTGATGAGGAGGAGTAAGCCACTCACGTGATTAATTTTTGTCTGTGATGCCCGGTTTGAGCTCCATCAAGCTCACCACAGCTAACATGGACCAGACCGGACGTCAGTCGCCTTGCCTTTAAAATAAAAGCATGCAAACTTTATCATTTACCAGTTGGGTAGTCGGCTGACATTTAGACTAAAATGAATGCCAGTGGTCTGGCGACAGAAAAACTCATTTCAGCTGAGGCCTAAAATAAACTCATTTTGAATTAGGTTTAATGAGTGAGACTTAGGGATCCATTGTGAACAGTATTGTCTCTTAAAGTTCTGCTTAAACTAATGCGTCTGGTTTTAATATGTTAATATTTTAATATTTCTTCTTCTGCTTTGCATTTGTTAGCGGTTGCATTATCTTTGCCTATAACACTCTATATTAATGCTATATATTAAACTATGTGTTTGCTATCTTAGCCTTTTATAATAATAATAATAATAATAATAATAATAATTAGAAGAAAAAAAGAAGACAGTAGGCTAATTGTATGACAAACTAATGGAATTATAATTAAATTCAAAAACTCATTAGCACTGCAAGGACTTAGTGTTATATTAGATATATTGTCACTTTACATTACTTAAATTAAAAAAAGGTGTGTGTTTTATTTTGAAACTTATTAGCGGATATGGGCTTTTACATTGCTGCGGGCTTAACGGACGTGAGCTGCGGCTCTGTACATTTTAAGGTGAACACGTTTAGTTTGGAGCGGAGTTAAAACCCGGACCAAGACAGCTGTGGTGAAGACAGCGGCTCAGCGAGCTCCGTCCCCGGCAGGAACGCCTCCGACAGGTGCGGTTAAAGCCGGTAATTGGGATTAAAATAGAAAAAGCGGAGAGTTCGTCGGACTTGGCTGTGTTTCAGACTCCGGTAAGCGGCACCGACGATGCTCCGCTCCGGCTCTCTGGCTTAACAGCACAAAGTAAAAACGGAATCAGAAAGTATCAGGAGTTTTTAACCGGACAATCTGCGCTCTTGTCGCGCTCTCAGAGTGACTGTCGCAACACGCTGCGGTAGGTGAACTGCTGGAGACCTGAGGAAGAGGAGGAGGAGGAG